ACCGCAGCTGTGGACGAAACGTCAGGAAGAAATTCCGATAGACCACGGCTTCAAAGCCCGGAAAACATTCCAAAATGGCCTTGTTTTAGTTAGGAACAGTTGTCGCTCCGACCCTTTTTTGCAATGAACCATCAACTCAACCGTCTAAGAGATGACATTTTCATTTGAATACATGTCAGTATTGAACGGGATTCAATTTTCCAGTTCTCCAAAATCGAGTAAATCTGGCCAGTTGCTGCACAAATTGGGCAAACACTCATTATCCGGCATTATCGGAAATTCGGGCACACACAACGCGAATTTTCGCTCGGAATCGTGCATTTTCACCGAAAACGAAAATAAAGAGATACTGGAAAATAAACGACCGGCGCTGGATACCATCTAATTAATGTTTTTCCAGCGCTTGGTTGGAACGAAATGTACAAAACTTGACCCATTTCAGAAGAACCAACGTTCCAAAAGCAAAGGGCAATTGTTTTAATTAAAACCTTTCCTGCAAAAGATCATTTTGCTCGTTTTTGGGGCATTATCATATACGGGGATTCGTTAAGAGCACTAATTGCTGGCAGGCAGGCTTTTTATCCGTTTTGTTTGGTGCACTCTGCGAAATTAACATGCCCTGAGCGCTCGAATGCAATTTTTCCTGCCAGTTTGCTTCGTGGCTTAAAAGTGCACCCCATTCTCTGCACCAACAATGGCCCTTCGCTGGGAATTGCGGTGTGATTAAAGTGTCTACATGCATTTCCATCTGTCACGGCCATTCTTTGCTTTTGCAGGAGCCGCTATTGAACACATCTGCGAGGAGACCAATGAGGAGATAGCATTGGATCGCAGTTTGCTGATTCGAGCTGCCAAGTGTCTGCTAGCCGCCATCACTCGGGTGCTACTTTTAGCCGACATCGTTGTAGTTAAACAGTTGCTTTTAGCGAAGGACAAGGTAAGTTAATTCATGCCGTCTCCCTTTTCTACGCTGTAGTTTAACAACTCGATTGAACATTATCCGACATGAACAAAGTTATCGAAGAGAGGCTTTGCGCGGAGAGGAAAGTCGCCAGCCACTTTACACCATTAGTCGTTCCAGCATCCAAACCAGAATACTAAAAACTGTTAAAGTGTGCGCTAGTCAATTAACCAGTGGCATTTGGCTGGAGGATGATTAAATTAAATGCGCCCCCGGCGCACAATTTTAATAGTGAGAACAGTCACGAGTTGGGAACAATTTACTGCACTGTAGCGATAAATTCGGGCAGCAAATAAATTTAAATAAATGAGCAGGACTATTTAGCAGGTATTTCCCCATCATTTAGGATTCTCGAGCTTGAGTGGGAAGCCAGCCCAGTTACGGCAAAATGAACTCTGGAGAAAAAAAGGGAAATTGCTGCTCCATTAAAACTTTCCCTGTAACGAAATTATCGCGCGTCACTCTAAAGCTTGATAGAATATAGTTGGCAAAGTTGGCAAACTTTCCAAGAGCGTCTTGTTAACAGCACTTCGAGTCGATTAGCCGGATTAAACTTCAGCGAGTGAGCTGGAAACGTTTTGTTCTTTAATTGCACAGCGAAACATAGACAGAGTCGTTAATCAAGTGAACCGACTTCAATTCGCTACACTCTCCACCGATTAATGTCCATGCAAAAAACGACAAATAGCGAAAAATCATTGCTCGGTTTATCTCAAGTAGATGCGTTGCTTGCCACTTTATCGCCATGGACTTGCTTGTTGCACGCGGCTTTTAACGCACTTAATACAATGCTGGCGACAGAGACAAACATATTGGGGGTCTTTGTTGGCCACATGGGGGCGCGTTAATATAGCTAAACCATGACGATATAGGCCCACCTAGTCAGCTACATTTGGGAAATTGTTCCAGGTGTCCCATAGCTTGGACCGTCTGGAATCCGTGAACAATTTCACGGAATTTGTGAAAGCCTTCAGCCAATTCGGCGCCGAAATGGTCGAATTGGCGCATTTGACCGGCGACCGGCAAAACGACCTGAAGGATGAGCGCCGAAGAGCTCAAATGGCGGCAGCCCGACAGGTTCTGGAACGTTCCACCATGATGCTGTTGACATCGAGTAAAGTAGGTTCATATTGGAGAAAAAACTGGGGCATTTTGAATATTCGTGGCGCGTTTCCAGACGAGCCTGCGGCATCCGAACAGCAACTCTGCACGGGAAAATCGGGACACGGTTTTCTGCCAGATGCGAAGGGCGATGGATCTCATTCATTACGTGGTGAAGGACGGGGTGTTGAACAACAGCGAGTCTGGTCTCCACTCGCAACGGGAGGAGCTGGAGAACGATAGGGGAACGGCTTATGCCTGCATGCGACATCTTCAGAAGCTTCTGGAGCACAGCAAAGCCACGATGGGTGAGCTTTCAGTCTCTTACAATGTTTCCAAATTGTGTTGCTTGGTGCTAATCGCTTTCAACTGGCTGGTGCTGGATGCTATGAAACGATAAACATTTGCATGTGGATTAGCACGAAGCTGCATTTAGTAAAGCCAGCGAGTTCGGTCGGTTTTTTGCTTCCAAAGTGCAAAGGGCGCGTTTCTAGTCGACCTGTTTGCATGCGATTTATACAGCGTTATTCACGCTATACG